GCAAAAGCAGACAATCAAATCAGTCACTCCTCTAACTTAAGTAATCTTCAGAGCTTCGTATTCTCGAATGAGAATTCTGCCAATTTTGTTGATCGCAGGTTTGAATCGCACACATTCCCTAAGGATATTTTCCAACGTCGCTTTAGAGGAATTATTCCAGTCAACGTTGCAGCCGACTCTGGTGGACTACCGGTTATTTTTGAGCGCTCAGAGAGCCAAGCACCTTCTTCGCCCTCTGCTGGAGGTGATGAAGATAATACAAGTCTTCTCCACACCCGGTCACCAAGTTTCCACTCCCAGCCGCATATAGAAGATTTAGATGAGATTACTGATTTTCCTAATTTGCCTTCTTCATTCCCTACTCACAGGCTAGCCAAGCCTCTGGATAAGTTTCCGTCGCCTACAAATGCACATAACAACACAGATAATTTAAGCATATACTCTTTTCATGAGCCGACACGAGGTAATGCGTCTCCTACTCTTCCAACTAAACACAATACTCATTCCTCTCAATCTCACTTTGCTCACGCCTTAGATTTATCTTCTCGGGGTAGCGAGGTAAAGACTGAGCAATCATTTGAACCCTCTGATTATTGTTTTGGTGATCATACGCTGGACAGGAATTCTCATCGACCATATGAAACTGCACAAAACGCCTCTTTGCGAGTGGACATTCCTTATCATTCCTCGAATGTGTGCATATCAGTGAATGCATCTCGTTATCCTGCTAAAAATAGATCTGGCGCATCCGACTCATTGTTTGCACCTTCTTTCTCTTCTGCTTTAATGATTCCATCTGTCCAGGGAGCGGAGGCTAAGCAGATTGACCCAGAGGACGCAGTAGATATGCCTAAGCTTGTGCCTTCTCGGAGTGTTCGCGAGATGGTGGCTCGTTTTGAACAGCAAAAGTTTTCTCCATCTTCATCTCTGGAAATGCATAATCGAAAGCCCGATTACTCTCTTTCCGCAGCCATTCCTTCTCAGTCTACCGGTCCAGTGGTGCCGAATGACCTGCGCCAAACTTCTGACTTCATGTTTTTAAAGCCTTCTCTTGCAATGTCAGCAGTCCCTCGGACCTCTAACTCCCCTTTACTGTCTTCTTCCTTTGGCTGCTTCTCTGAATATGGGATCAGGCAGGGGGCGCAGAACTCGAGCAGTGGTAGTTCACTGTCTTTGGGCAAAAGCGATACAATTATCGCATCCGGAAAGACCCGATCTCGCATTAAATGCGCCCCCGTTACCACTTCGACCATCAGCAGCGATGCAAGTGGAGGAGACAGCCTCGGCCCTGGGCCCGGAGCCTCCGTATTACCTGATACTGCCTCTTCATTAACTTCGTTGCGATCAAAAGGCCTGCAGCATCCGTGCCCTGAGGTGATTGTGTCGAATAGCCGCTCCGAGGAGTACGGGGTTAAGCGAGACCCAGACCATTGGCCTGCCCATGCATTTACGAGGACCGCGAGATTTCCCCCCTCGCCGCCCTCCTCATCCTCAAGTCTCCTAGTCTCTGAGGAGCCACATGAGGCTGCTGTCGACTCCTCAAAAGCAGCTTTGTCCGGTTTGTCGGACCTTAAAATTGACCGCGACTACCTCACGGGAGGCTTGATCAAGATGGATCGGTCTCTTGATCATTTCTCTTCTCATCTGGACAGAATTGACAAGACCCTCGAGGGCATACAAGGTCTCAATCATCTCTTAAACAGTTTGAACATTCCACCCTCCGGGGAGCTGAATCGTTCTTTCAAAGACTCACACGGATCTCCGTCTGGTCAATCATTGGTCAAACGAAAGCTGCATCAACCACCTCCTCAGCCAACTGGCAGGAGATTCGTATCCGATAATGCCTCCAGCCTCTCTTTAACCGATTCCAGGACCATAATTAGTTCCACTCCGGTTTCCTCTCTGCTCACCCCTTCCAAACTTTCTTCGGTTTTCACAGCCGATTTTTCTTCTAGTCCACAGTTTCTCGAATTCCAAGCCAGAAATCTTGATTCCGCCAGATCATCCAACGAGCCGCCATCTACTCTTCAGCGCAAGTCTCCTGAGCTGGGCGACGTCCCTGTTAAGCATCGAGAATACCTTAGAGCAGAACAGGACTATCAGCCTCCAAAGAGCGTGCATCAGTCTCATCCAAATCTCTTGCCGCTTGTTGATTCGACATGGCCAACTGGCGAAACCATATCACTGACCTCGTCACAACGTTCTGGTTTCTCATCGGCTCGTGACATAGCAGTCTCGAGGTCTGTTTACAGTGGAGAAACGACATTTGCTAGCTCATCAATGACGCCTTTCACTGCCGGTCAGGATTCTTCCCAGCCGGTAGCGGAAATTGCTAGAAGTTTGCCCAAATCTTCGGCTCCATTTCCCAGCCCTACCAGACACTATGAGATTTCATCCTTCAATGGAGTGTCTTTTCAGCCGGCCTCTTTGCTCAATGAACATCGAATGACT